ATGGCTGCAGAGCGCTCCCTGGAAAGTCTCCGGGAGGAAGCGCCACGTCCCATCTGTCTGGCGGATTTCACAGCCCCTGTCACTCTGGAGTGTGGGCACTATTTCTACCAAGTCCCCCTCAGCCGTTGGTGCAGAGACACTGAGCAGCAGGGACCCCTCCGGCCCAACTCGCAGCTGACTACAATGGTCCAACTAGCCAAACCGCTGAGTTTCCAGGCAGCAAAGAGAGCAAGATGGGACGGGGTGTGTGGGGAGCACCAGGATGCTCTGAAGCTGTTCTGTGAAGAGAATCAAACTCCCATCTGTGTGGTGTATGACAGATCCTGGGATCAAACGGCGCCTATACAGGAAGCTGCCCAGGAGTACAAGGTACAGTGTGGGGAGCACCAGGAGGCTCTGAAGCTGTTCTGTGAAGAGGATCAAACTCCCATCTGTGTGGTGTGTGACAGATCCTGGGATCTAACGATGGCGCCTGTACAGGAAGCTGCCCAGGAGTACAAGGTACAGAGTTGCTGTCCAGTGTGATGGGAAATAATGTTGGGTTTTAATTACAGGCTAATTTCACTGACTGTTACCGGGCACAGGTGTGGCACAGCTCTGTGAAGCCTTCATGGTACAAGTGATGCTGTAAAAAGTAAATGCTCTGGCTTTGTGGCAACTTACATCAAGTCTTTACAGATACCTGATGTGGGAAATGTTTCTCTGAGGCTCTGAATCCTGAAACCCACCTTCACTGGTGACAGGAGGGGTGTTTGCACATGGGAAGGTGTTAACAATCAGAGAGGTTTAAATCACAGGAGCTACAGGCCACTCGGTCAGTGAGCTGTCTTGGGACTAGGGAAGAGGAGGTTACACGCTGTTACTGATTGGAGGAACAGGACTAATAATCTGGCATTTGCCTTATAGACCCACATTGGCATCTGGGCCCTGCACAACACCCAGCAAGGGAAAGTCCCTGCCCTAACTGGTAGGGACCCAGCTCCCTGCCCCTCAGCATCACTGAAAAGTGATGAAGTGTGGCCCTTATGAGGGAAAGATGCCTTGATAAAGCCCCAGGCCCAGCAGGGAGAGGAGGTTTCCCACTAAGATGCTGAACTCCTGAGCTCCTCCATGAAGGGTTAAACTCTGATTCAGCGGCTGGCACTAGATGAGGTTGCTGGGCTGAATGCTGTGTGGGACCCCAAGCCCCTTCACTCCACCCATAGCAGGGCTTCAGGAAGTGCAGGTCCATGCCAGGCAGAACTGGGAGTCAACTGGATTGTAGCAAGAGTTCAAACTGGTTAACTGATGAGCTAATGTTTATTGGTGCCAGTTACCGGTTAAACTTCCCACTGTCCCAGCAGTGCCTGCTTCCCTCTGGCAGCTAATGTCAGTCTGCAGCTGCTGGGAGTTCCTATTGGCCAGCAGTTATTGTGGCTGCCCCCAGCAGACCTTGTGAGAACTCCCCAATCCCAGGAGAGCCCATTTCCACTACCAGCCCTGCCTGTTAGCACGTTAAAAAATACTGTCATTGATAAAATTGTAATCGGTTACATGATTAGTATTGTTAAGCATTTTTACCTCCCCAATCCCCACCTGCATCATTCTTTAGGAAGGCGCCATCACCGATTCGTCCTCTACCTTTGCAGGTGTCCTCCTGCATCCTCAGGGTATGTCTACACCACAGCGTTAATTTGAGTTAGCTTAATTCGAATTAACTAACTTGAATTAACGCATGTACACACCAAATGCAGTTTAAATTAGTGTTTTGCTAATTTGAACTACTGCATCCACGCTGAGTAGACACAGAATCGGATTTAAGGCCGGCTGGAACCAGGTCAGGGGTATCTTTGTGTGGCTGTTGCCTGAGGCTGAGGCTTGTCCCCCCCCCTTCCCCCTCTCCCCAGGCAGCCAATGCTCAGGTGTCCCTGCTTGATTTCCTGCCTTGCTGCGGGACAGCAAAGCATTTGTGTCTCAGAGTGCTCTGGTTGCTCTCACTCAAGACACCATGGCACTCTGCAACATGGAGCCAGAGCAGCCCCTGGGCACTTGGGTGCATCTTGTGGATGCGTTGCTTATCAGCCTGGTTGCACCTCCTGCAAGCTGCCATCCGGGACATCCATCAGGGGGCTGTCAGTATCCAGGAGGCCCTGCAGGAGAGCATCCACCCTGAGGAGCACTCAGGGTGTGTCTAGACTACATGCCTCCGTCAACGGAGGCATGTAGATTAGACAGATCGGCAGAGGGAAATGAAGCCGCGATTTAAATAATCGCGGCTTCATTTAAATTTAAATGGCTGCTCCGCTCTGCCGATCAGCTGTTTGTCGGCAGATCGGGGCAGTCTGAACGCGACGCGCCGACAAAGAAGCCTTTCTTGATCGGCACAGGTAAACCTGGTTTCACGAGGCATACCTCATTGGGGGGCTGTCAGTATCCAGGAGGCCCTGCGGGAGAGCATCCACCCTGAGGAGCACTCAGCCTCTCTGGTCTGCCCCACTGGGGGCTTGTGCCTCATTCCTCCCTCATGTCCTTCCGCTTACCCCTCCTTAACCCCCCTTCCTGATGTCCAATAAAATACCTGTATTTTCATGAACAAAAACTCTTTATTTAACAAAACTGGGGGGGATGAAACCCTGGTGAGAGTTGGGAAAGGAGGCTGGAGAGGGGAGGAGGGAGAGGGACACCTGGGAGGAAGGATCTGGAAGGGGAAGGCAAGGGGAAGAAGGGGGAGGAGAACCTCAGGGTTGAGGGTCTTGCCAGCCCTCCTGTCTCGCAGCACTGCCTTGGTGTTCCCGAGAGGGGGGAGGGGGAACAGGTGGAGGGGGAGGAAGAAGCAGTGGGAGTGGGAGGAGGAGCGATAGCTGGGGCAGCCACAGGGGCTGGAGCGGCCG